ACAAAATATATGTTGGGGATTTATTAAATAATTACCCCTAAGTAACAGTTTCATATATCCCCAACACCTAATTTTGAATTAATTTTGTAAAATATGATCAAATAAGTGTCTAAATAGATAACTTCAACTAAAATCATTTGGCGCAAATGGTTTATAAATTTAAAAAAAAAGGGTCTATACAAAATATATGTTGGGGATTTATTAAATAATTACCCCTAAGTAACAGTTTCATATATCCCCAACACCTAATTTTGAATTAATTTTGTAACATATGATTAAATAAGTGTCTAAATAGATAACTTCAACTAAAATCATTTGGCGCAAATGGTTTATAAATTTAAAAAAAGGGTCTATACAAAATATATGTTGGGGATTTATTAAATAATTACCCCTAAGTAACAGTTTCATATATCCCCAACACCTAATTTTGAATTAATTTTGTAACATATGATTAAATAAGTGTCTAAATAGATAACTTCAACTAAAATCATTTGGCGCAAATGGTTTATAAATTTAAAAAAAAGGGTCTATACAAAATATATGTTGGGGATTTATTAAATAATTACCCCTAAGTAACAGTTTCATATATCCCCAACACCTAATTTTGAATTAATTTTGTAACATATGATTAAATAAGTTTCTAAATAGATAACTTCAACTAAAATCATTTGGCGCAAATGGTTTATAAATTTAAAAAAAAGGGTCTATACAAAATATATGTTGGGGATTTATTAAATAATTACCCCTAAGTAACAGTTTCATATATCTCCAACACCTAATTTTGAATTAATTTTGTAACATATGATTAAATAAGTGTCTAAATAGATAACTTCAACTAAAATCATTTGGCGCAAATGGTTTATAAATTAAAAAAAAAGGGTCTATACAAAATATATGTTGGGGATTTATTAAATAATTACCCCTAAGTAACAGTTTCATATATCCCCAACACCTAATTTTGAATTAATTTTGTAACATATGATTAAATAAGTGTCTAAATAGATAACTTCAACTAAAATCATTTGGCGCAAATGGTTTATAAATTTAAAAAAAAGGGTCTATACAAAATATATGTTGGGGATTTATTAAATAATTACCCCTAAGTAACAGTTTCATATATCCCCAACACCTAATTTTGAATTAATTTTGTAAAATATGATCAAATAAGTGTCTAAATAGATAACTTCAACTAAAATCATTTGGCGCAAATGGTTTATAAATTTAAAAAAAAAAGGGTCTATACAAAATATATGTTGGGGATTTATTAAATAATTACCCCTAAGTAACAGTTTCATATATCCCCAACACCTAATTTTGAATTAATTTTGTAACATATGATTAAATAAGTGTCTAAATAGATAACTTCAACTAAAATCATTTGGCGCAAATGGTTTATAAATTTAAAAAAAAGGGTCTATACAAAATATATGTTGGGGATTTGTTAAATAATTACCCCTAAGTAACAGTTTCATATAACCCCAACACCTAATTTTGAATTAATTTTGTAAAATATGATCAAATAAGTGTCTAAATAGATAACTTCAACTAAAATCATTTGGCGCAAATGGTTTATAAATTAAAAAAAAAAGGGTCTATACAAAATATATGTTGGGGATTTATTAAATAATTACCCCTAAGTAACAGTTTCATATATCCACAACACCTAATTTTGAATTAATTTTGTAAAATATGATCAAATATGTGTCTAAATAGATAACTTCAACTAAAATCATTTGACGCAAATGGTTTATATATTAGAAAAAAAATAGGTTTATTTAAAAATATGTTGGGATTTATTGAATAATTACCCCTAAGTAACAGTTTCATATATTCCCAACACCTAACTTTGTATTGATTTTGTACAATATGATCAAATTAGTATCTAAATAACTAGTTTCAAGAAAAATTATTTGGCGCCAATGATTTATAAATTTAAAAAAAAAAAAATATGTTCATATAAAATATATGTTGGGGATTTATTAAATAATTAATGGGGTATTTAGTACCAAAAAATCAATCCTAACTGGCGCTCTCCCTCGTAATTAAGTACTATTGTAAATTAAAAAAAATATATTTATTTATATATTTATTCAACATTATAACAACAACTTCTAAACAAATAAGTCACATTACTCCGGTTCATCCGGTTATTCAAAACCGCGATAATCAAAATGGCGGTCTCATTTTAGCGACATATTTGAAAAGAGCGACATAATAAAACCGCGACATTTGAAACGGCGACATCTAATCAAAACAGCCACATTCAAAAGCGTGATGCTTTAAAACAGTGACATTGCAAAAGAGCGACATATGAAAAGAACCAAATTTTAAAGAGCAACATATTAAAAGAGCAACATTTGGAACGACGACCTCTAAACAAAAGAGCGACACATCAATTTGAATCAATAATAATCGAGAAAATGCAGATTCACTCAAACTAAACCGTCCACCGTCCACCTAGTGCAAGTACCTCGTAAGCTAGCATTTTATTTGAAAAACAAAGCGTGTTCAAGGGACACTGTAACTAAATTACCTTGGTTTTTCAAATAAAATGTCAGCTTACGAGGACTAAATCGCACTACGTGGACGGGTTATTTTGGGTAAGTCTGCATTTTCTTGATTATTATTGATTTAAATTGATGTGTCGCTCTTTGTTTAGGGGTCGCCGTTTTAAGCTCTTTTAATATGTCGCTGTTTTAACTGTCGTTTTTTTCATAGGTTGCCATTTTGCAATGTCGCTGTTTTGAATGTTACTATTCTAATATAACGCTATTTTGAATGTCGCTATTCTGATAAGCCGCTTTAATGAAATGCTGCGTTTTTAATGTCGCTATTTCAAATATCGCCCTTTTGAACCGGAGCAAAGTCACATTTAAGGTATATATACATCGGATACCATTTTAAAAAAATGATGTAAGCGATCTTCAAGTCTAAATTTCCTTTTAAACATAAATTCCGCCAGATACCCCATAAAATGCGAATTTTTGCGGCCGTATCGAGGTATTCCACCTCTAACATCCCTCCAAGTTCTCTCGATATTTTGAGTATGAATCCTTGGGTCGGTCGCAGAAATAAACTCAATCGAATGATTTACCGTGAAATGTTGAAATTCTTCGTTATTCAAACAATCATATGCACGCCAACAATCACTAACAATGGTTGTATGTGGCAAAATATATTCTTTAATAATTTTTAATAGGGTATCTGCATTTCTTTTAGCCGCAGGTACTAAAAATATATTTTTTGAGTTTCTCTCAAAGCCACCAAACACCCATTGTCCCTCTAAAACTCTGCCTCGATTATATTTTCTTTTTCCGAATTTAGCTTCGTCTATCTCAACTACACATCCAGGTCCACCCAGTTTTTCAGATTTTTCTGTACACCACCGTAAACAAACTTCCCTACAAAAAGAAGCCCAATCCACAGCCGTTCTTGTACTACATTTAATTTCATTCATTATAATCTTTTGTCGTGGATGGGGCAAAATACACCAAAGAGCCGTGAAGTAGCCAACATCTTGAACACTCAATTTACTTTTGTCAAACCAAGTGTTTTTCTTTGCAGTTTTTTCAAAAGAACAAGGAATACTGCCTTTCTTTTTCACCGTCTTAACTCTAAAATGTTAATAATGCAAATAATAATAAAGCATGAAACAAACACACAGAACCCACCTTTGAGTGCATCGATGTGTAAATCGTACAATGTTTAGTTTAGCAACACCTCCACATTTTTCACAGGGTATTTCACCCTTATTCAAACCATGATTCACCAGAAAATTAATGTAATTTAAATTATTTGATTGCAATCTCACAAAATCTCTTAGATTTAAATTACAACCTACACATACACAAGCCATAATTTTCAAAAATTTAAATACAAACAAACTGCATAGAAACCACAAACTGATGTCAAATTGATTTAAACAGCGTCAGGCAACGTCAGTATACAAAGCTCACTATGACTTTATGTAACAATTGCTGTTAAACATTTTATTTTCTACTTTACTATTATAGATCCATAATACCTAGGAAACGAAATACGTTAACACACCTATAACAACCTGATCCATAACGCCCGCTTTTGCGGGCGTTATGATCTATAACGCCCGCTTATAATACCTTAAGGTGTTTTTGTTGTTGTTGTTCTATTAATTTGCACTTTACCCTAGGCAGCCACTAAATGTCTGACCGAAAATAATTTTCGGTCTAGCCAGGATTCGAACCCGGTCTACCATCAATGTTTCCCATGTAGTCCAGCGCGTTAACCCACAGGACCACCACCGTTGCCTTGCCTTATGAGATGTTTATAGATATATTAATGTATTTCGTTTCTATGTACAGGTCGCAGGTACAGGTACAGGTCACAGGTACAGGTACATGTCAAAATACAAAACAATATTCTGTCACACAAGTTTAACTGATTTTGTTAATAACAAATTGATGAAAAAACATTGTGTTGAGTAGAAAATAAAGCATTGTATGCACCACGGGGATTTCAAGATTATAATGCCCGAAGGCGAAACTAGCACGAGGGCCTATGGCCCGAGGGATATATTTCGCCTGAAGGGATAATCTACATAATCCCCTTGGTACATAAATAGCTATTTTATTATGATATTTTGAATTGTAAACATTTCTTCACTGAGCTCTATCTCTAACAGTAAAGATTCTCTTGACGAGCTAGCCCGTTAATCAAACTGATGCAAACTAACCCAAATTAACCTGTCCAAGTAATGCGTGCTATGCTTCGAAATCATATCAATGTAAGGTGTTGGGGATATATTAAATATTTAGTTAGGGGTAGTAATTTAATAAATCCCCAACCTATATTTTATATAAACGTTTTTTTTTAGATCTATAAATCATTTGCGCCAAATTATTTTAGTATAAATTATCTATTTAGACACTAATTTAATCATATTGTACAATATTTAGTCCAAATGGGGTGTTGGGGAAATACTAAACAATTACCTTATAAACTCATAAACAGTGGGAAAAGCTATGAAATTGCAAAAGCGAGAAACATTTTCATATAAAAGGTGCGGAGAACCCAAATACGTGAAGGCCAAAGCATCAAACTTGCGGGTAAGATTCAAAACCCTCGTGGAAACGGCCAACGCTATCTCTGGCATGCAAGTGACACGTGCTCAACAATACCTGAAGAACGTCCTTGGCCATAAGGAATGCGTACCCTTCAAAAAATTTAGCGGAGGAATTGGAAAGTGTGCCCAAGCTAAACAGTTCAAGACTGTTAGTGGACGTTGGCCATCAAAAGCAGTAAAATCCATGAATGAACTTTTGATCAATGCTACTTCCAATGCATACTATTCTGGAATCGATCCTGAGGATTTGTTTGTGTGTCATATAGAAGTCAATCCAGCACCTGTTTCTTCCAGGAGGACCTTCAGGGCTCATGGAAAGATTAATCCCCATGTCTCGCATTTGAGTCATATTCAAATCGTACTCAAACTAGAAGATTAGTTGTTTTTATTTTATAATAATTTCAAGTTTGTTTCGTATCTACATGTAACATTTTGCCAGTAAAAAAGTTTTGTTCAAGGTAATGTAAATTTTTTATTTATTTTACATAGCTTCCACCAAACTGATGTAGTTTCTTAAGCGAGCAATTAGGCTATTTTCCATAAAATCATATGAATTTGAAAAATAATATAGTGGGTCCAGATACAGCTTTTCTTGAAACTAACTATCGAAGTAGGTACCAAATTTTCCTGGTTCTTGGATTATGTTGCTCCTGCTCTGTTAAATGTTCTCGACGCAATAAATACCTCAATTTCCCAATTAGGCAGGACATTATTCAAATGAATCTTAGATACATTCTCGCCGAAAACTTACTATCCTCATCTTTAACAGAAAAGTAGGTAGCTGTAGGTATAATATATTTTTTATGTCATACCAATACATTATTGTGTTTTTATACCTTGGATACCATCTACATAATTCATTACTTTATGCCCGTGCGGGCATAAAGTACACATTATGGCCCGCGCGGGCATAAAGTACACATTATGGCCCGCGCGGGCATAAAGACGCAAAAAACAGTTTTCAATTAACTTATTCTTTATTAACAAAATATAAATTTACGCTTATAAACATATTATTTTTGTCAAAAAATTATGATGTTTGCACACTGATGACAATTTGCGAAGTGACACTTTTTCCTAGGTATTTATTATTCACAACCAACTGGTATGACATAAAAGTTTGTATGCACCACGGGTACTAATAGATAATATACCCTCGGGCGACTTACGAACCCTCGGGCCAGAGGCCCTCGGCTTTGTAAGACTGTCGCCCTCAGGGCATAATCATCTACTTAGTACCCTTGATACATAAATAACTATTTTACCATAAATTTGTTTCAAGTGGCAGAAATGTTGCACTTCTTGCTAATCAGTGACAAGTGTGCTTGTCAAGAGCTTCTCAATAGTTTGAAAGAAGAATCCGCATGAAAAACTTGGTTTATACTTATTAGATTGGGAAAGGCTTTTTTCATTGAATATTGAATATACAGTGTGTCCACTTAAGTTCGCACCATATGGGAAACTTTTTTATTATCAATTTTTATAAAAATTTCTGCTTCTTGAAAAAATAATATTAAACTATTAAAACTTGAAATAGCATGAAGTACAGGGTGGTCAAAATATGGAAAAATTTCCAGGGTGTTTCCTAAGTAGGGTTCGTAACTTCGGGATGTGATTCCTTACAATATTTTAATAAAAAAGTTCCGATAAACATATGTCCGGAAATGCGTAGTTTCTGAGATACAGGGTGTCAAAGTTTTAGAAAAAATCGTTTTTTTAGCTCAAAAATCCCTTTTACAATTTTTTTTTCTTCAAATTTGGCAGGTTTGTTTGCGATAACGGAAGGTATCTTTTGACTGTAATATGACTTGCTTAATCTGAAAAAAATATCAAAGGTTTGAAAAAATTGTGATGTACGATCTTTTTTCTACTTTTACCAAAAAACATGTATATTTTTCTGTTTTCTGACCACCCTGTACATGCTATTTCAAGTTTTAATAGTTTAATACTATTTTTTCAAGAAGCAGAAACTTTTATAAAGAATAACTGTTTTCCGTGAAATTGATCATAAAAAAGTTTCCCATATGCTGCGAACTTAAGTGGACACACTGTATAACTGCTCGGCTTGCATGTACCTATAATACTGGAGATGGAAAACTGCTCCCAGTACCTAGCTAAAACATTTTTCTATTGGAATTACTATTGCTATTACCCACCTAAATCTTACTCCATATTTAAGTAGGTGTAACTAAAATAACAGTTACCTATTTCAATAATTAACTTCTTTATACACAAAATCTTCGAAAAGCTCGAATTCCATTGGTCTCAATTTAAATTGACTCAATTTGTTCTATTTATTGGGTTAATTAAGAGTCCCAGAGTGCAGAGTTTCCTAAGTCATCTTCTCCAAACTCGTTTATAAAATCAAAGTCTATAAAATTGTATAGGAGAGTACATAAAGCAGAAAGCAGTATAAATCTTAAAAAAATGCACTCACCAATTTTTTTAAAGATGCTTACTTTTTGAAATAAAATTAAAATAGTTGCCATTATTTACCTTGATCTCAAAAAAATACAGTTCGTTTCTATAATAATAGCAACCCACGTTGTTGGCACCCTTAGGGCAGGTGACAGACTATAGCGAGAGAACGGGGCACAAAGCGGGAGCAATCGGCACATGCTATTTTTTATAACGAAACCCTCAAAAAATGATTGCAAAGGGCGGGCCCCGTGCTTTTTCCACTTTTTGGATGTTTTTTCGACGTCTCATGATAACATTTCAGCTGGAAACGACAAGAAGGGCCTGTTTTTGGCGTCGAAACAATGGAAAGCAATACGTGGTACAGAGCGTTCAGTGACAGTTTAAGTTTTAAAAGATACCCAAAGGAGGGGGCTGATTTTATTTTTATGTTGGGGTAAGCGGAAGGCTCGTGCTATAGCGCACCCGTGCGGTTTTCATTAATGAAGTTTTGGTGATAAATTTGATTTTTTTTTTAGGGGTTGGAATGATTAATTAGAATAATTCGAAAATTTATAATTTCATCTTAGATCTATACTAATATTTTTTATATATTTTTTAAATGCACAGAATGTACTTACCTGATAAATGCAATTTATTTACGGTAATAATATCTATACAATCCAGACAAAATATTATACATACATACAGTCCAATCTGGCCAACTGATCGGCAGGATCTGTGTATTTTTATAGAGCCTGTCCTTCCTCACAAATTTAGGTAGTGATGACCTAATTGTTGCAACAAGTCTGGGAAGACGATGTATGCACAATCATTGTCGTTGGTTTGCCACGAGACTAGTAAAAATATTCTTCGATCAAACCGCATTAGCTGCATGATCAAAACTGATGTATGTACATGGAGAAGGATGGAAAAAATATTGGACACCCGGCCAATAACACTCATATTGCTAGCCATAAAACTATTAAATAATATTATTGAACAAGTTGACAACAATATTGGTGCACCGCCATGAAAGGCGACTGCCAAAACCAGAATATTTCAGTGCTATAGCCTCAGGAAAAGGTCAACTCTGAAGAAAATATTTTCCTTCTTTGGGATATATAGCGAATCTTCATTACCTTTTACCTTGTTGAATTGACCTTAAGGTCATTCATTTGTGAACTGAATGGAACCCTCCATGTTCTGTATAGTCCAGAGCTGGGAGTAACGACAAAAAAAAGTTACTTTACTTTAACGAGTTACTGAAAGTAACGCGTTACTTGGTAACTTCGTTACTTTTCAGATTGATTGATAAGTAACTGTAACGACGTTACTTTCCTGAAGTAACGCTGGAAGTAACGCGTTACTAGTTACTATGAAAGTAACTCGTTCTCTCAATTTGTTTATCTTCTTTACAAATAATTGACAAGTGAGCAAAAGGGAAATAAGTAATCCAAAAACTTTGTACGTCAAATAAAATGTTGGTAGTACAGAAAATTTCTTTTGAAAGCTTAAAATAATCGTTTTTGGGCGTACCACGCGCCGCCTCTGCTCTAAGGACACTATATGCAGAAACTGGGACACTTCAAAGAGCAGGTTTGTCCAAAATCAAGTGCTCTATTCAGTCGCTTAATTCTTAATCCGTTTGAATTTTGCAAGAATAGTCTTTCACATAGTCGGACTCACAAACTAAAAACATATTGGCATTTCGTATAGGTCTTATTCGATTGTTTGGACTGCTGTGTTGGTGAGTCAAATTAAGAAATAACGCAATTTTCGACGTAAATTTTTATTTTTGAAGTAACGCGTTACTTTGAAAGTAACGAACTACTTTTAAAGTAAAGAAGTTACTTTCAAAGTAACGAAGTTACAGTAACGCGTTACTTTCCAATAAGTAACGAAAATTAAGTTATCATTATTCGAAAGTAACTGTAAATTTTAAGTAACGAATTATTTTTAAGCAAAAGTAACTGTAAAGTAACGCGTTACTTTTTTCAAGTAACGATCCCAGCTCTGGTATAGTCTCATCATGCCGATGTCTAGCAACTTCTGCCTCAGCCTGTCATGATAAGGACTATGTATGATTTATGTAAGTAGGTATAACTCACATACATATATTATCCTCATCGTTTAATGACACGAACGTCACGAACACAACGTCACAGGGCAAAACCCATGTTACCTGTTGAACAAGACTGTTTCTTTCTTCTGTTGTAGGTACTATGGATGTACTAACAATAAGACTATGGTTGATTATAATTTCCATCCACGACTTTGGGAAGGTGTTCTCCAATTGTTTTATTGAACCTCTTTAACCATGCCATCTAACGTTGGGTGCAATGCCGTTGTTCTATATGCTATTGAAGCCATTTTCCGAACTCGGCCATTGTACTGCTACATTTTTCCCATAGAGCTTGTTTTAAGTCCTCTGCAGGTTGAACATTTAGGTTACCACTGTCAGCACGAAGAATTTTCGTCCTTACAATTATTGACATTTATTTCATTCTGTATTGTATTTTGTATTTGTGTTTGTACTTATATAGGTATTAAATAAACTTGAAAAAAAAAACAATTTGAGTAACAATAATTATATAGCCTAACAAAATTAAGTGTATAAAACACCTGTATGCTGGCGGGGTCCCAGGGGGTGCACAGGGGGCGCGCCCCCTTCCCCCCCTTAGCCATTCTCGGCCATAATTTTATTGTATAAGCAAATAAACAAAACATCAGAATGTTCACTCCATTCACATTTACAATAACTAAATCCGAATTTTTGCGACGAACTACTTCCACGATTTCATGAACACAAACGTAGTTCGCCAGAAGCATGGACGCAACTTCAAGCCAGCGTTCAAACTTATGACGTCACAAGACGAACTATGGTTCGTCCTTGGATGAACTTCATTCGTCGCGGTTTGTGTACAGATACAAATTATTCCAATTCTCCGAATAATTTCAACGAGTCCCGTGTCTGTAGCC